TCATTAAAACCTTTTTTTGGAAAAAGAAATGGAAGAATTGATGAAATTTTAAGGAAAATAACCTGTATATACCTGTACTAATGATATGGTCCGCCATCTTGGATTTTGGCCAATGACGTCATCAAATTAGCATAAATTATGCATATTTAATAATAAAATTTACATAAATTCATATGGGATGTTATTAATTCTAGAAACCATGAGTAACTTGACATAAAACCCATAAAATTCTATTGTTGAAACAAAAAGTACTAAATTTAGCAAAAAATGCCTGTCAGAAACCCGTTGCCATGGCAACACAAAACATTACTATGTTATTCCAATGATGGAAAATTGTTGCCAACAATATTTTAGGAAAAGTCACCAAGTTTGGTCGTTCTAGCCCTAGCCATTCAGACGCTATGTGACATCAAAGTTGGCGCGGGCACTTTTAGCCCCCCCCCCCCGGTCTAGATAGGGTTAAGCCAGTGGGTATGTTTGTTTGTAAAATGAAGGTCTTCATCCATTCACTCTTTCATCCATTCATTCATTTACTCATCCATCCATCCATTCATTTATTTATCCATTTATTCAATTATTCGTTTATTGCTTGAGTTCTTCTCATCCTCATCTTGAGGCAAAACGCCTTATAATTCCCGGAAGAAATCGATCTAAGGTTTCTCTCATGATCGTCTTCCTTATTTCATGGGTCATTGCGTCTGGGACATATTTCACGGAAAATTAGATTTCTCTAAGAAATTAGAGCGTGCAGTATGAGGAGGTATATGCATCTTGGGGCAAAGCATAATCCTTTGATTATGTTTGCTTTCCATGGTCAGGAAATTCACAGAAGCAAGAAATAATGTTGTAATTTACAGACCATTTTGTCTAGTTCGGTGTTAACAGATTTGAAGTGAACAGGTAGTTTCTTTCAGCCTCCAATCTTACTAAGTTGGGCTTCTCCATCCAAGAAGATCTTAAAATCACTTGACGTATAGGCGTTCAATAATCTACCTAACGATGGTGATAGGTTACGATATCATTTCCCAGAGGTACGACTTTCATTACGTCCAATCCCCCTCAGCAATAATGCCATGTTGATTTGATTATAATGTACATGTTGATTTGTATGACATCAGCGCACGCATGAATTTTCGGCCGTTTCAAAAAACTACTTTACAACCATACTAAAAATCGTACAGAACATTTGCAAAATGAACTAATTAATACAGTACGTTTGAAAACATATTAGAAAACGATACCAATGTCGTAGAACTAGAAGGCCAAAATTGAAAGAAAAAGAAGAAAATGTAAAGAAATTAATTTGAAGAGTAGATTATTTGCCATACCATACTCTGTGTTATTTGTTCAACCTTCATGGCCAGGTAGATTTCATAATGAAAGCAACATTTTTGGCTGAACTTTTTTTATTCGCACGCTCGCATCAGTTTTTTGGGTTCCCATCGAAAGTCATCCATATATTCAAATCAACATTGCCCCATCAGTTTCCAAGAATGACGCAACAGGCTAGATCTTCCCAATACTGATTTATTTATGATGTTTTTGAAAGACGTCAAACTAGTCTTGTGGCTCCGTGGATAATTTCATTACATTGGTGAATGATTGAATAGCAAAGTTCTTTATTCACAACAGTTTTTGTTTAATAAGAGTCGACGTTTCTATGAACTTGAACAGTGAAGACAGTGAACCAGTGATAATTGCCCTGATGAAGATGACAGACGGCCATTGAAGCGTCGGCTCTTGTTAAACAAGTGGTTTGGAATTAAGAACGTTGCTATTCAAGTCTTGTAGCTTCCTGGGAGATTTCCAGCGATCCATCGGCCAATTTTCACATAATCAACCATCATGGTCCAATCAACCATCGGACCATTAATACGCCTTAGCTGATTGGTCCTGCTACAGCATCATTAGATATCATCCATACTATAGTATGGGGGAAATATATCATTTTCTCTCAAATTTATTCTCCTCCGCCTTCTTCTCCTCCTGCCATTTCGTTAAATGGATACGATTTCTTCACTTTTGAGCTAATTGACCTGAAATTTGGTATGAAGCTAAAGTCAAATACCCTCAAGCGTTTCATTTTCTTTTATTTATACGCTTTTAAAATGGTTTTATTTGGGTTTTTACCATATATGGTATGCATGACCATATTTGGCACACATGACCTACTTAGTCATCAGGTGGGAGCAGTTTTTCCTTGTTGATTGGCTGCTGGGATAATGTGATCAAATTTGGAATAATCAAACAGATACAGGGTTGTATGGAAAGGTACTAAGTAATTTCCAAGCAAATACAGAGGGCTATGGATTGCATGGTGAATGGAGAAATTTGGAATGGGGAAGAAGAATTGGTGAAATTTGCTGTATTTGCTCTTGAGCAAACGTTGGCCTCTCTAGTTAGAAAAGTTTTCTTTAGAAATTACAGTCATAAAAATTTAGGCCTCTCATTGGTTGAACAAAGTAATCTCGCAAAGTATCAACCCGCTGGCAAATAAAATACATTGTAAATTCCTATGGTTTCCCTGATTTTGACGTTAAGAAACTTCTGGCTTTCTAGAAAATCTCTAAGATACTATAAACATATCTTACAAAGCAACCCTACCTAGCCTCTTCATCTATTTGTTTGAATCTAATTCAGAACAAACGATTATGATCCTCAACTGTCATGAATTTTCATCACGTTCTGACGGGTCCCATAAGCGTGATTCATGTAATGCCGTGCGCGAGTCCTCCCCCTCACGCTAGATATTGCAAATCGACCGTCATCAGTCGAGGCGGGCGGCCTCTTTTGTATGATTGACACCGTGCCGGCCGCGTTCAGAATATGCTTTCCCGGCGTGCGAGCGTGGAGGTCGTAGCTCATCGCGGACGACATCGTCTGCAGAGTCCCTAATGGGACATCAAAAACAGCCGCACAGTTGAAAGAAGGGCCCACATCCTTGCTGTATTTTTAATCCCGTCTTTCCGTCTGAAACCAGGAGACAAGAGAAGGGATTTGGACGGTACAACGGAGGGGATTTGGACAGCCTGAGCAACTGTAGGAGTAACTGTTGCACCAGTGCCTGAGTCCGAGGCAACATTGGAGGCTGTCAGCTGCGTTTCATCTAAACCAGTTAGTACTACCTTCCAGACATCACGAAGATATCACGGGTATGGAATGAAATGCTAGCGAGATCCTCCAGGCAGATTCGCCGGTGCTAAGCGCCTTGGATGCTCACGGCAATCCTTATCTTACGCCAGGCTTCTTTCAAGCACTTCTGCTTTTCTTCCGGGCACCAATGACGCACTTGGATTGACTCCAGTTACCTACTTCTATTTTTGATTGTTTTCGTGATACACGTCAGAAAGGAGGGCCTTTTTTTATTGCTGTGGACACATCTTCACACATCTTCACGCACGGGTGACCATGTCCTTTGCTAGTGAGGTTGGTGGGATATGCTGCCCGAGCAGTCACACAACGCCAGTCCTGTCTACAACAAGCGCTCGTCCTGGATGTAATTTACGGACAATTTTGATAGTGATGCAAGAATATCAACGATGTAAGACCGTTTAGAAAAAAAAAATATCTTGGCGTGTCCGTCGGAAAGGTTGGAAAATGAACGAGTCCTTCAGTACCACTACAGCGCCTTGTAACGGCACGGATTGCCCGCGCTCCTCTTCATCCCAGGACCACAACACGGGGTCTGACGACGCGACATGGATTCTCACAAGCGCCTTCATCACGTTTACAATGCAATCAGGTAGGCACAGAAATATAGCCTCCATAGCATGCCAAAAACTGGGGGTTTGGGGGGTCTTCATGGTCTTTTTCTGATTGCATATAGACGACATAGCTGGCCTGGTTGAATTACCGCCGTTTTTAGAACTGGGCTAATCAGAAAACAGCCAAAGACCACCAAACCCCAAGTTCTATAAGCCTGCTATGGAGGCTAGCACAGAAAGGACTTTTTCATACTAATTGTGAGCGAAATAGCCACACACGATGTTAATACATGTACAGCTCTTTTAAAACAACGTACAGCCATAGTTTTAGACTAGTGGCTACATTTTGGTAGCAGGTAACATGTAGATGGTACGTAGGTAAGCGTTTGGGAAAATTGTAATAATTGAGTGCTTTATAGATTGCCACTGGAATCCTGTAATATGTGTATTTGCATTCTTGAGTTGTGTTTTTATATTATGCAAACGTATATCAGATTAGCAGCAAAATGAAATTGCTAAAGAACACACACAAAGACGAATTTAGGTCTCTTGTCAAATAACATATGGAGATTGGGTCTCTAAAGACAGGACATGTAATTTTAGTATTGACCCACTAATGGAAATATCAGGATAAAATACGGTGTCCCTGTTCGCGAAATGGCACAATATTACAGGGTTGGAGTTGTAAACTATGCGATCCATCAAGGCACTACATGTAGTAATTGCACAGCCTTCACCCGGCCTTTCTATGGGAAATTCAATACAGATCGTAGAATTCGGCAAAAAAGAGAGTAATTATAAATAAGATTGGCCAAGGGAGTCAGTCCGCAGGGGGGTAGTTTCTAACCCCCACCCCCCCTGCGCGGTCAAGTCAAACCCCATAGCGGCCAAACTCCCCTGGCAATTATTCTTAAATTTATAGCCAGCGTCGTTGGTCTGGTAGAGACTAGTAATTGCACATCTTCCCAGCTAGGAAAACTGATTGCGTCTTGCTGGCGACTAAAGGATTCAAACAGACCGGAGGATGCCCATTGTATATAAACAAGGCATATTTATGAATAGCAAGGTTCTTTGATCACAACCATTAATTTTTCCACGAGCCGACGTTTCGATGACCGTCTGTCATCTTCATCAGGGCAATTCTGATTGGTTAACTGTGTACTGACGCTAGATGTTACTTGGTGCATAGTGCACTAAAGGTGTTACAACCATTAATTTTTCCACGAGCCAACGTTTCGATGACCGTCTGTCTCTAGCGTAAGTGCTAAAACTAGCTTAAGTGCACTATGATCCAAGTAACAGTGCACTGTGAACTATGTAACACCTTAAGTGCACTATGCACCAAGTAACATCTAGCGTCAGTGCACAGCAGACCAGTCAGAATTGCCCTGATGAAGATGACAGACGGTCATCGAAACGTCGGCTCGTGGAAATATAAACGGTTGTGATCAAAGAACTTCGCTATTCATTCGTTTACCAACCTGATGAAATTATTTATGGATGTAAGGCATATTTATCTTTGAACAAGCTACTTACCGTAGATATACCTACATCACTAATTATTCATACTTACAGGATTTGCCAACGACGCGTTTCATAGATTAAGGAGAGAACAAACCGAAATGTTTTTATTGATCCTTAGAAAAAAAAGCTGAAACTACAATTATTTTTGACATCTTCAAGGTTGGTTGTGCACCTTTTGATTGATGCTGAGTTATCAAAGAAGTATGGAAACAGGTCATATAATAACAACAACTTTATTGCAAAACAAAACAAAGCAGAACACTGGTATACTAGAACACTTGCTTGGTTGGTGTTCGGGAGAGATTCCGAATGTGTGACAGTGGCTTTAGCGATTAGAACTTAATTCCAGGATTCCCGAAGGCACAGAAGAGGTCATTGCAAAAGTGGCCCATTTGGCCCATCTGGCCTCAAACTGTCACACCGACCCGTTATCTCATATTAAGCGGATTACTAAAATGGTTTCTTGGCGATCCGTCCTGACTCGCCGTGCACTTCGTTATTACTATTGATGGAAGAGTTTCAGTACTGAAACATTACATTGGGAGTCCAATTTCTATGGTCTTTCATTTTAGCGATGAGTTTACAAACGTAAACCATGCCTAGATTAGGCAATGTAAACCTAAACGAAAGAGGTAGAGGCAAAAAAATCACGATCTAATTGCGAACCAGAGAAGGTTTTTTTTGGGAAACAAGGTATTGAGATGGGGCTGCACTAATCACCTACGTGTACCTACCTCATTAGAGGCGATTAGTACAGCCTGCACTATATTGGATATATTGATGACCGAATTTTCGTCCAAACTGCGCGACTAAATTAGGATTGTCCCTCAGTACCTAAAAATGTTGAACGCACCTTCCTGCATTTTGAAGGGCAAACTTTGCTAGTAAACTAATTAACGTATCTATTAGTGTATTTTGTCCACATTTTAGGACGCCTATTCAAAACTACCGTCACACTCCCATCATAATTTTAGGGGGACCCTAAAAGCTTCACAATTGTTATTACCTCCATGAAAAATGACGGTATTGTTTGTGTGTGTGTGTGTGTGTGTGTGTGTGTTTGTGTGTGTTTGTGTGTGCGCGCGTGTGTGTGTGTGTGTGTTTCGTTACATGACCTCTTCGAAAAAGTCGTGAATTGTATACATCATGATTTCATTGATGTCTAAGGTCTTCTAGTTCGTTGTAGTACCGAAGAGACAAAGTAATGCGAGACTGTGAAGGAAGTTAAGTTGATATGACATCATCTTGTTAACAGTCTCCTACATCGAAGCATCACATAAAGATACGTCGATTAAGGTTATTAGACATCCAGGTAATACGATACGCCAAAAAGCAGTTACTCAAGCAACTGGATATGATTTTGGAAACGGTCAGACGTTTCAGGTAGCATTCACAGATAGAGCTTCTTTGGCGCATCAGAGATGGAGCCTCTTAGCGTGCAGGTTATGTGTCCGCAACAAGCCATTTTCCACGGTAACGACGTGCATGTACATCCCGTGAGCTGTCGAGGTACATTACGATCCGGATGTTCATTCACGTTCAATCGATAAACCGGAGACCATAATGTGCCCATAAAATGTTAACAACATCGTGGTGTTCCGTGTGAAATGTGGTAGTTATCTTACTCAGGCAGATAATAGGGATAAACTGTTCAAATGAACAATTACAGAGCCGGTGGAAGAAACTTTTTTGGGAGGGGGGTGGTTAAAATTGATCGCTGACTTTGTACCATTTTGAAGTGCTGGCGCGATCTATAGTGTATCTAGAATATTGTAACCCTTTAACCCTCAAACCACAGTATGGGGTCAAAACTGACCCCAGGCGTATATAAATATGTGCCATTTTGACATTTCTTGTCAAAAACGAAATTCGTTCTATGAGTTTGTTTGTATTTATGTCATACGTTTTCATTGAGATTGGAACATCACAAAAACAGCCACAGAAAAAACTAAATTTGTGCAAAATATTGTGGGGGCAGTTTTGACTAAATACGGTAAGATTCGTCGCAAAACGTTAATGCCTCTAACTGTCAAAGTACACCTAATGAGATTTTATACATGTATATCACCACCATGCCATTTAAGGAACAATAAGTGACAAACAGAGTGTTTACGTCTGTTTGAAAATTTGCTGCCTGTGTCAGCATTCGGGATCATTTGTAACAAGCCACTGTTAAGGGCAGGGACCCCAATAGTATCAATCTCTGACTTTTCTTATATCTGTAGTAACTATTACAGTTTAAATTGGTTTTATCATTAGTTCCTCTCTTTGGTGTAATAGTACCAGAAGGTAACCTGACAATAACAAAATTGCAGCAACAAGTTCGAAGGTTTTTTTTAATATTATAAAAGGATTATCTTAGTTAAAACTATAGCCCCGTCACTTCTTAACCTTTCGCCAATTCTCCACACCTCCTCCTCCCAGGTTTTGGCCTCCTTGAGAGCGGGAGCGTCTCCACCAAAAACGAGGTCAACATCATGGTGAAGAACGCGTCGGACGTTCTCTTCGGCGGGCTGACGTACTGGATCTTCGGCTACGCCTTTAGCTTCGGGGAGAGCCCGTTATCCAACTCCTTCTGCGGCATCGGGCAGTTCTTCGTGGACGCCGACGAGGCGAACATGGGGTGGATCTTCTCTCGATTCTTTTTCCAGATGTCCTTCGCAACTACTGCCACCACCATCGTGTCGGGGGCAATGGCAGAACGTACCAACCTGATGGCGTACATCCTCTTCTGTATGCTGAACACGCTAATATTCTGTTTCCCGGCGCACTGGGTCTGGGACTCCCGAGGCTGGCTTAGGAAGCTCGGGTCGGTAGACATCGCCGGGGCCGGGCCGGTCCACCTGGTGGGAGGGACCGTCAGCCTGGTGGCCACGCTGATGTTGGGACCCAGGTACAAGAGGTTCGACAAGAAGGACCCCCTGAAGACAATGGCATGTCCCACTAACGCACTACTGGGGATGTTCATGCTATGGTAAGACTTGTTGATATATTACACAAAGAAAACTTATATGCAGGTAACTATATACGTTATGTCCATAGTCAGTATATACACACACCAAAAAAACAAAAATTAAAAAAAATAATCTGCTACTTTGTTACTTATTTTGTATTTTTGTCCTCATTATGTTATCAGGTTCCTTTATATAATTTCTGTATGTATCTCACAACTTACGTTATGTTCCTTATGTGAAATTTTACCATATTCTTTGTGGCATCTGCGAGCCAGGCGTAACTACTAGTACTTACGAAGAAAAGGCGAAGGGCAAATACACCTCGTTTAGATGTAGATTTCCCAGCAGCTGCAGGATCAAGATATACAGAATGAGGGTTTCGTCCTGCTCTGGCTAAATCAACTACAAGCCGACTTGATGACAAAGGTCACACTTTCTTAGAGTGCTAAGACAATGTATAACACTTAAGTATGGAGACAATCGACAGTGACGAATTTTACATGAGTCATATTGAAGGATTTCTGCATTTTATAATCTTGTAATAAGAAAAAGTTATAAAGCTAACTCTCTAGGGGAGATAGTATCTCATATAGCTTTCCTTATCTTGTATCAACGCCGTGTTTGTCAGTTTGACTCCAATCAGTTTCTAGGGAACGGTTGCTCTTTGGCAATGCATGGAAGGGGGTTAGTTTATATATGAACTTTATTGACACAACAAAAAGTACAGCGACTTTTGTAAGGTCAAAGACATGTAGATATACAGACAATTATACATGGGTACAACGAAAATACCCTACGTACATAACAATAGGTGGGTCAACTAATACTACTTGTTCTAAGGTCTAAACATTCTTTGATATATTTACCTATTTGTACACAGTAAGGGTTATCTAATCTAGTTCGATATCGTCTACCCAACATTCAGTCATACAACTAGGTTTTACACACATATGCGCTGAAAAGGTATCTCTTGATCTTTGCCGACGACTCTTGTAATCCTGGCACCTACTAGTGATAACTTGAAGTACTTACTAAGGAAACAGCCGTAAAGGGCACAGGAGGACACCTTAAGAGCGAATGTCTGTAAGGATCAAACAATGGTGGCAGGGGTCAAAAAATCGATTTGGCTCAAACTTTGCACAGTGATAGTACTTGGCCCACAACCCCTCAAAATAGCTTTCTTTCCGGTCAACACCGATCGTTGCCATGGTAACGGGCCAAACAAGTTTCGGGGCCATTTTCCCTGATTTAGACATGTGAAAAACATGAAATTTGGCATAGTTTAAGGCACGATTACGAGCAAGTGCTCTAATATTATGGAAAAACAAAGTATGGGCATAAAAGACCAACTAATCCGCTATTCTAGAATAGCTTTGGAATTTTCAAGAAGTTCGTTTAAAGGACCTGGGCAACCCTAACACAATACAGTGTTTGAGGCTTATGAAAAAGCGTTATTTCTACCCAACTTTAAAGTGCTGTAAGTCCAAAGGTGGTGATTTTTTTTGCTTCAAATTTGAATCATAGATACATAAACGTATGTGCTATAAAATGCATGGTTGCAAACTTTGGGCACTTCTTTGGTTGTCACGTGGTTGTCCTTAGAAGTAGGTCAAATTTTGAATTTGAGGGAAAATATGATTTTCAGCCATGTTCAGGATACTATATCTACAAAAGAAAGAAAGCAATCTAGAAAAGTATTTTGCCCAAAGTAACACTATGTCTTGTCTATTGAATGAATACTTGTGGAGGTTGGGGTCTTGTGTCGTTGGTGTGCACTTGTCCCTCAAAGTAGGCCATGTTTTGGACATTTACAGAAATTGACATATACGGCAATGTTTGAAGCTCTAGAAAGAACAAAGTAGGATGTCATTTGAATTCAATCTTTGCAGGGAAGTACATATATGTATTTTGTATCAAATGAATACTTGTGGAGGTTGGGGTCTTGTGTCGTTGGTGTGCACGTGTCCCTAAAAGTAGGCCATATTTTGGACCTGTACAGAAATTGACACACACGGCTATGTTTGAAGCTCTAGAAAGAACAAATTTAGATGCTATTTGAATCCAATCTTTGTGGGGAAGTACATATATTAATAGTATATCAAATGAATACTTGTGGAGGTTGGGGTCTTGTGTCGTTGGTGTGTACTTGTCCCTAAAAGTAGGCCATATTTTGGACATTTACAGAAATTGACATATACGGCAATGTTTGAAGCTCTAGAAATAGCAAAGTAGGATGTCATTTGAATTCAATCTTTGCGGGGAAGTACATATATTTATAGTATATCAAATGAATACTTGTGGAGATTGGGTTCTTGTGTCGTTGGTGTGCACTTGTCCCTAAAAGTAGGCCATATTTTGGACATGTACAGAAATTGACATATACGGCTATGTTTGAAGCTCTAGAAAGAACAATTACAAAGTTAGATGCTATTTGAATTCAATCTTTGCGGGAAAGTACATATATGTATTGTGTATCAAATGAATACTTGTAGAGGTTGGGGTCTTGTGTCGTTGGTGTGTACTTTTCCCTAAAAGTAGGCCATATTTTGGACATACAGAAATTAGCAAAAACGGCTATGTTTGAAGGTCTAGAAATGACGAAGTAGGATGTCATTTTAATTCAATCTTTTAAGAGGAGTACATATTATGTATTGTGTATCAAATAAGGGCTTGTGGAGGTTGGGGTCTTGTGTCGTTGTTGTATACTTGTCACTAAAAGTAGGCCATATTTTAAACATTTACAGAAATAGGCATATACGACATGAACAAAAAAGGAAGCCCTCAAAATCACCCATGTGATAGCCAATACTATAATAAACACATGGTAGAAGGATGGGTCTGAAAATAAATTCACTTTGGTATTTTCATCAGCTCAAAACAGCCCAAAATCCAAAGTTGGGGACAAGTGCAGAAAATGACCTACTTCGAGGTTGCCCAAAGACTGAAATCTGCCTCTACATCAACTTCACACCTATTTCGTACAAGTTAAGGCATTGGTCTAATAATATCCTGAAGTATTTGTCGTTACGTTAAAGCAGTTGGTGGTGACCGCGTTCTAAACTTTGCCAATTTCCGTGTTGTAGAGACGCAAAAATCTGTCAAAATGGCCGCAAAACTTGAATGGGCTGTTGCCATGGCAACAATGGGTTTTGAGCGGAAAAAAACTATTTCAAGGGGTTGTGGGCGAAGTACTATCACTGTGCAAAATATGAGCAAAATCGATTTTTGACCCCGCTCACTATTGTATGATCATTACAGACATTTGCTCTTAAAAATGGCCTACTTTTAGGGACAAGTATACAACAGCGACACAAGACCCCAACCTCCACAAGCCCTTATTTGATACACAATACATAATATGTACTCCTCTTAAAAAATTGAATTAAAATGGCATCCTACTTCGTCATTTCTAGACCTTCAAACATAGCCGTATATGCTAATTTCTGTACATGTCCAAAATATGGCCTACTTTTAGGGACAAGTGCACACCAACGACACAAGACCCCAACCTCCACAAGTATTCATTTGATACACAATACATATATGTACTTCCCTGCAAAGATTGAATTCAAATGACATCCTACTTTGTTATTTCTAGAGCTTCAAACATTGCCGTATATGAATTTCTGTAAATGTCCAAAATATGGCCCACTTTGAGGGACAAGTGCACACCAACGACACAAGACCCCAACCTCCACAAGTATTCATTCAATAGACAAAACATAGTGTTACTTTGGGCAAAATACTTTTCTAGATTGCTTTCTTTCTTTTGTAGATATAGTATCCTGAACATGGCTGAAAATCATATTTTCCCTCAAATTCAAAATTTGACCTACTTCTAAGGACAACCACGTGACAACCAAAGAAGTGCCCAAAGTTTGCAACCATGCATTTTATAGCACATATGTTTATGTATCTATGATTCAAATTTGAAGCAAAAAAAATCACCATCTTTGGACTTACAGCACTTTGAATTTGGGTAGAAATAACGCTTTTTCATAAGCATCAAACACTGTATTGTGTTAGGGTTGCCCAGGTCCTTTAAACGAACTTCTTGAAAATTCCAAAGCTATTCTAGAATAGCGGATTAGTTGGTCTTTTATGCCCATACTTTGTTTTTCCATAATATTAGAGTACTTGCTCGTAATCGTGCCTTAAACTATGCCAAATTTCATGTTTTTCACATGTCTAAATCAGGGAAAATGGCCCCAAAACTTGCTTGGCCCGTTACCATGGCAACGATCGGTGCTGACCGGAAAGAAAGCTATTTTGAGGGGTTGTGGGCCAAGTACTATCACTGTGCAAAGTTTGAGCCAAATCGATTTTTTGACCCCTGCCACCATTGTTTGATCCTTACAGACATTCGCTCTTAATTATTAATATTGTAGCTACAGGCCCAGTAATAATTTGTGGATCGATATCTGCTAAATATTTCTATGCTGGAAGAACAACCTTGGGTTTTATTTTCCCTCAAGGAACTTGTGTCAGCAATATACACTGCCAAAGGAATACTAGATCGGATACATATTGGGAATTGGCTGGTAGAGCGTATTAGCCTTACATTTCCATTAATGTTTCTTACATATTCATTAACCCTTGTCCTGCTGTGCGCAACATATGTTGCGCGGCACATTCAGTACCATCTATATAACACCCTGTATAGGTACGATTTGGGGGTATTTCTCGTGCAACGGATCACACCGCAGCGAAACGCAACGAATGCGGAAGTAACTATGCCACTGCAGGACAAAAAAATTTGTTTTCTTTTTAATCTAATTAAGACATGAAAATATTGAAAAATATTGTGCCAGGAATGCCAGCAGGACAAGGGTTAATTATACTTTATGCATTTTTTTTACTAAGTTAAAAAAACAATTGTCCAAATGGATAACTTTTTGTGTGCTTATAGCCACAACAGGATTGAGCCCACCGAATTGTTTCCGAAAAAGGTTTAATTCACAGAATGACCGATAACAAGAAAACTACACTTCTTTTAGAGAACCCTTACTTTACAGAAAAAAGAGGGTTCCTCTGTTTGGTAACCTCTATATACAAAAATCCAGAGTATAGTTAGCTTTTCAGTTGTATAAAGTAATATTGTTACCACAGACTATTTCTTTGTTATGTTTACCGAAGGAAAACATATTTTTTTTACTCAGTTTCTTCCTCTTCTGTTCCAAACACTAACCTCTGACCTGGCCAATGACATGATTCGTTGACTGGTGTTGGGTTACATAATGTTGCAATGTCATGGTCTGCTCTGCTCCTGTCACCATATACTCGTAGTACATGTATGTGAATGTGTTTGAGTAAAAATTAACAGGGCAGACCATGTCCGAAGGTAAACATTATGCATTTGCTATGCAAATGATACTTCTCTAGTTAAAATTGCGATTAGCAATCAGCCAAGAGTGTGCAATAAACAATGTTTGATGATGTAGTGCCTGCATTGTTATATGTTAATATCGCAATTACTTTATTGAACTGTTTTACACCTCCAGGTGGGGTTGGCTGGGGTTTAACTGCGGCAGTACCTTCGGCATTACCGGCGGCAAGTGGAAACTGTCAGCCAGGTAAGGAACCATCCATCTACCATTACTAATGTTACTCGGGTCGTGTGGCGTAACTGTAGAGTGTGGATCTCAGATCTAAGAGGTCCCGGGTTCGAATCTTGCCCGATACCACCGATCTTGTGCCCTTGGGAAAGGCACTTTACATGACTTTCCTCACTTCACTCAGGGGGAAATAAGTACCTATCTTCGGTTACGGACGTCCCACGGATAGGATCGTTAAATGGAGGTCCCACACACGTTAAAAAAGCACACAGCACTTATCGAAAAGAACCGGGACCTTCCCGGTGTGAGTGGTTCAAACCTTACAGTCTGGTCGTACGCAACATGTACAAAACTGGTGTGCTACACATGTACCTATAGATTATGAAATAAAGACTAAGCTTTTACTTCCAACACTTAGATTACGACTAGTTGGGACTTACCCAAATTTTTGGTTGACTCCATCAACCTTGTAGACTGGTCCATTCCGCGAACAAGGTTGATGGAGTCAACCGAAAATTTGGGTAAGTCCCAATTCCGTAATCTAAGTGTTGGAAGTTAAAGCTTAGTCTTTATTTCATAATGACTTGTACCAACACAGATGAACTTTCATGCTATATGTGTACCTATAAAATAAAGCTTTTACCGGTTATGCGAAACAAACTCCCACGGGGCGGAATTTCCCTACTTTTCCAGGCACATCAATAAATCATACTGTAACATCCTTGTCATTCATGACATTTATAGTTATCAAGACTATCATACCAGGACGTGATCTGCTTTGTTGATTTGTTTCTAATTGCTTGACTGATGCGGTGCAGAGTTCGATCTAATTGCGGATCTGGAGCGTGAGAATAAGTCAACCACAAAAAGCTATAAACAGATAAATGAGTCAATATTGTAAGTCATTAAGGCTTCATTACTCTTAATTTGTAATGCCCCTTTAAAATGCATATCATTGATCTTAGCAAAACAAAATATTCTGACAACATGAAATTAATATATCAAAATCCATACATTTAGGAGATACTCTGCCGGTTCGTTAACTCTTTTATACGTCTTCATTTTTGCTTACACAACTCTCATAAATGTTAAGTCCGCTTGCAAATCCCTTTGTAGTTAAGAGTATTAAGAATGTAGGGCACGTTTTCCTACAGATGAGTATGTGACAAAGCTGATTACTTCTCTAAATCTATCATGGTGCATTTTCAAAACATCAGAATCAGTCAGAATAGATTAAAAACATAATTGAGTGAAATATAAATTCACCAGGAAGGGATTTAAAAATTGCGAATCTAAAACAGTTTTCTTGGTCAATTTTCTTTGTAATTATTATGAAATATTAGTTCCATTTGCTTGCAAATAAAAGCGCTGTTACAGTAACTTTGAGAAAAGTTGTGGAAAGAGTTTACCTTTTAAGCTTACCTTGTAGGATAATCAGGACAATATAATGGGCCCATTCGTTAGAAAGAACAGCTTGTGCAGGGCAAGATTACTATTATTAAAACGTCTTCCACCAGCTGCCCTCTACAAAAGGCGGTCTGAAACGTTTGCATAAGGCCACAGCAAGTAAATTTTAATGGATGACATCCCCCACAGAGTCCAAATCTAATGCGAGCGTGCGAAAAAAAAACAAGGTGGGCCGAAAAGAACAAGGTTCCTACATTTCAAAATTTTGACTCAATAATTGTCCAAATGGTTTTGATTCAGTGGGAACATCATATACACAGCCAGCATCACATATCACTGCATCAAAGTAAGAAACAAAACATTAAATCAGAGCCTTTTCTTGTCTCCTCTCTGCATAGTTATCTGCCATCCACCTTCCGGCATGGCAACAAACATCTTTGCCCATTTTCGGCATGTTGACCACCGTCAGTAGGCAACAAAATTTCTTGTTAATTTTTCCAAAACCAGGCGAATATCAATGCGCGCGCTTATGTCATCCATAAAAATTACTTGTTGTAGCCTAACGTCTGAATAACGCCCACTGTCTGCCATGTACATGATAAAGACGACTTCATCACCCTTGGTAGACCAAATGGAATATTACATAAAAACGAGTCTCCTAATAACTGTAATTTTCTGAAACATGCAAGACAGTCTAATGGACGCAAACGGCTAAAACATAGGACCACCATGAATCTTACATTTTATTGGTAAATGGGGGCATAGTACGGGGGTTTCTTGGAAGACACAACGTCAAAGAAGAGATCAGTCTTGCCTGCAGATACCATCAAAGTATGAGACGTCTATGACGTCAGGCATTGCATCAGGAATACTTCAACCGAACCCTTATCGTCAAAGTTAGAGTAAACTCGATTCCCAGATCATAACGTAATTAACGTAACGCAATTCCTGAGCAAGCAGCTAGGGAGCCCAAACCTACGTCACTTCTTCCCCAGCACAATAGATACCTACCACTCAAATTTCGTGCCCCTAGCATGTCTAGATCATGAGATATCAAAACCGGAGTTCCACTGCAGTACCATAACAAGTCGCTAGGGGGTCCAAAATCTAATCATTTCCAGGTCTCATCAAGACCTACCCACCTACCAAGTATCACGACAATCCATTGAAGCCTTCTCAAGTTATCGTGTCCACAGACACACACACAGATACACGAACGCCTACGGAAACATAACCTTCTTGGCGAGGGTAATTACGATGGGGAGGGGGGGGGGTAAATCCCTGTGACACCGGATCTATCTCCTTCTGACACAAAGGCAACAAAGTTACTTGATCCTCGACGAGACAAGGATAATTGTTAGCATTCTGTTATCTCAGCAAAATTGTAGCATTGAATAATCTTCTGGATTCGTATGAAGGACGTTACTGTGCATAATATCGACAGGACAGAAGCGTTTAGTATCGACCCACCCTGTCCGTGGTGCTGATCGATCTGCTGCTAGTGTCTTATGGGGTCTCCTGGTGCTGCTTGATGAGTGCTTACCAATACATTGGGTGAGAGTTAGTTGGTCATGGGACGAATGTATCTGGTTCTGCAAATATGCAACTCTAGCTTGAAGGGGTAAGGCCCCGGAAAATAATTTTCATAGATGACATCAGCGCGCGCATTGATATTCGGCTGATTTTGGAAAAAGACAAGAAATTTCCTCGCCCTCTGACAGTGGTCAACAAGCTGAAAATGGGCAAAGATGTCTGTTGCGTAGGAGTTGCTTAATATGCATTTATATATTTATTAGAATAGTAGAATGGCTAAGTTCTTTATTCACAACTACTTGTTTATAATTTAATAACAAGAGCCAGTTGTACTAAATAATAAAATACTTTAAAAAAAGTTCTTCATTCACAACCACTTCCGAACAAGTTACTCTTGCTTGACAAGTGGTAATGAATAGATAAGCCTGAAATTATTTTTGGATATATGGAATACAGCAGCTATCAAGTCATGTTCAGTTACAAATTGTTGGCTATTCAAAAGCTGCGCTTGATAAGTGACGTTTGAATCATACAGAGACAGGATTACATGTTTCTAAAGCCCAGACACGATAGAAAAATTTGCACAAGAAGCACTGGGAGATCTTGTTCAATTTGTTTTCGGGGAGATGTTCTGTGATCTGAATAATAAAAAGGCAAGGCATACGTTGCTGTTTATGATATGAGTATGTACGTGTACATACATATCAAAAAAAAGTTAATGAATACTGTAATTGTGGCATCACCACTATGTGGTGAAGACATTGTTTTTCCTCATGTTTCTTCTTCTTCTTCTCCTCTTTCTCCTCCTGCCATTTCAGCTCCTTCATTTTTAGGTCAAATAACATGAAATTTGGCATAAAGGTAGAGTGGGTTAATATCCGCAGGCGTTTTTATTTTCTTTTTTGTGATACAGGCTTTTACAATGGTTTTATGTGAGCTTTTTGGCTGTGTTATAGAAAATGTACTATCATCATAGCACTGTGTTACCATATTGTCATGAGTGTTACCATATTGGTATGATTCATCAGAATGGCATGCAGAGCAAGCAACCAATAGGCATGCAGCTTTCCTCTATTCGTCTTGCTAATTGGCTGTTGGGATAAGATTGGGTTAACTCAATTAACACCTGTACAAAGCCATGCCATATTGACAGTGTGAACTGCATTCAAGTGTTTTGGTAGGTATGTCCAGCATTGGAATGCGGGGCATAAACGTTTCTTTTTATCTTGAAAATCAACAGTTTACATTATGCAATTAAAAATCCTAACCAATGATGTAGCGGAGAGCTATCCACTGCTGTCCTACTCCAGGACGCCAGCAACCATGACCCAACAAATGAGTTGTTGTTTTATGATATGAGCGTGTACATACATATCGAATAGAGCTTATAAAATACTGTAACTTGAATTGGTCTCGTTAACTCTAAGCCTCCACGTGTCACGTTTTAACATGCACTTGTCCGTCAACGTCATTAATAATGCCGTTTGATTACCGACGCCCTGCCCGGATGTTCCAATCTTCATGACTGTAAAGTTGCAGGTTGTCTAGTTACGACATCCCTAAAGACCCCGTCACACATTCAGAACCTTCACCCAAGAATGCTTAGGTCACATTTTCAAACCGGGGCCCGGCCGGGCTGTTTGTATGAACAAAAATGAACAATTCATATCAAGAATATGCAGAAAAAGTGCCCACGATTTTTATTAAAAACTTTTCTGTGTATTGTTGTCTTTTGTATCGTACTTTTCGTTCCCATGCAAAACCTGCCGGGCCGGGACCCGTGTAGGAATTGTGACCTCAGCTTAACACAAACTAAGGCCATGTTGATTGGATTATATGGATTATATGGATTGTTTAAAAAAAAGTTTTCAAACCATGGACTTGAATTGCTCTGACAATTACATAATTGATTGATTAATGAATAATACCGGGCATTAAAATCATTGACGTCATTGTTACTAATCTAAAGTTCGTTAAAAGTTCATTCTATTAAAATATCAGATTTACATACAAGTTGCCGACTAAATAAAAGATCCTTTGCATATTGCATAAATGCATATTCTGAAATGTGTAAAGTT